AATCACTCACTAATTGATCTGTCAGTCTGCCCCAGAGCAGCTGTGGCTACAGTAGTTTATCACCGGCATGTATGTAGTGAAAAGATTGTGCCACTTGAAGCGTTTTTTTAGTGTCCAAAAAGCACTATATAAAAGTGATGCAATGATCTGGATGATATAAAGAAGTTAAATAGATGTCACATTAGGCCTGTAAAAATATATATCCCTAGCATAATTCTGAAATTTCCCCACTGTGGGACGAATAAAGGATCTCTTCAACTTAATAATGCAAACTTTCCCAAGTTGAGCGATAAAATCTGAATTTTAGTTAACTAACTTGAGTGAATTACAATTTTCTGTTTTTTTGTTGTGCTCACTGAATGCTATCTGCTATTCTGCTTGTTGCTTAACTAACCACCTACATCTATGCTCTCTTCTATTTGTCCTCATGCAGGTTGTAGCAGTGCCCTGTGTGACAATACAAATACTAAAGCAATGCAAAACAAAGCCTGGGTCTGCCTTGCATGCTCCTAAATCCTTAACTTTCGGGGATCAATCAAAGCATTGCCTCTGCCTGACACAGACACTGCTTCAGCTAACAGCCACTCTGATCTTCTGAGTTTGCCATCAACAGATTTCTTTTCTGCCTTTATTGTGTTATGTGAAGTTAAAAAGGGAATGAGTGACTGGTGCACTGTTGTCTGTGCCTGCTGAAAGTCCGCTCTCTGCTGCTCAGATCTGTAACTCTGTAGCTCTAAAACCGAAGCATACCAGGAGTACAGCACCACTGGACCACCATTGCTATGTCTGTCGTGATATGCACTTTGCAAAAATGACCACTCCGATATTTGTGTTTTGTTTAATGCTGCCCAGGTCCAATCATGGTGCACTCATAATGTACAAATAAAACATAAGTAGGTGGACAGAATGTGGCCATTTGGGGTTTTCTCTCCAGATATGACTGGAATACTCTCATGAGCTATTGTGTGTTATGGGACTTCACAACTGCACCTCCCGCAGTCACTGATCACTTCTTTTTTGGTCAGTGCATTTCAGAAACAGATCACATTCTGCACCAGCGTCTGCTTTCTGGTCATTTACAGCCGTTTTATTTAGCCATTCCTGCTCTCAGACCACCCTTATCAAATCTTGCCACAACAAAAAGCTACAATCTATATTTCTAGCATCTTTTCAGAAGGTGTAAGAGCGAATTGTATTTTTGTAGTTGAACACAATTAAATAAATAAAAAACAGTGGCAGGATCATTGTACACTTTAACTCATCTCTGTTAACTCACTGGTGTTAAAAGTTCAATACTTAAGTCTTTTGAAGTGCACCTTAAAAATATCGCTTTGTCATAATCAGTGCAGTAGAAGGCACAAGGGCGTCCTTTTTGTCATCGCTGAGACATGTTTGTTGTGAATTGGCGTGGCTGTTACACTCTGTTCGAGCGCATTTCTGTATGACTGCAGAGAATATTGTAAATACTTTTTTTGGGAATCCTCTGTAAATGTTGTACAAACATACATGTAAGATTACTTAATGACGTTTTTTTAATAGGTTCTACCCTGTCTAATAAAGATGTATATATATTTATATTTTTTTATGTACAAAAAACTGTTAAAAATAATGTAATTTTTTTTTAGAATGGGCCAATAAACACAAGTTTTTTATGTTCAATGTAAGATAATAATATTTTTGTATTGCATGTGAAGACCATTCTGTATGATTTCATCCTTGAGGACAATAAAATGAAGCTTGACATGTAAAAAGAAAAAAACATTTGTGACTTTGCTTAAAAATAAAAATAAATTCAAGTCTTGATAGTTTCATTTTTTGGTATTTCATTTTCTGGATTCGCCACTAGGTGACAATAGTGCTCAATGTACCATGTTACTCTGACGGACTGTGCCCCTGCAACCACAAGCTCTAATTGGAGCTCTTCATTAACTGATTGTTGTTGATAAATATTATGATCATTATTATAATTTTACCTGAAAAAAATAGCTGTTGGCTATTGTCCTAATCCACATAGTTCCAGAGCACAAATCAGTATTGATAGGAAGAAGGCTAAGAAAGCAGAGTTGAACCTATTAAATGTATTGTCTTCAATATGGAAATGCCATTGTTGTACTGCATAGTTCAAGAACTGCAGGAGAATAAGACTCACTCAAAAGCAGATGTATAGCCATTTTGAATATACATTTGTGGAAACTTGCAGATAATCTTCTGAGGTAAATATTGAGAGTAAGAATTTCAGCAGAAACTGAATATACCTGTACATGTATAGCCTGACCAAAGTAAGTATCTTCACAATCTTCTTTACTGTCTGGGATGTCCCTCTGTGGCACGAGGTGTTCCCATCAAAGTACTAACCAGTACTGCTCATGGATTCAATTATTGTTGGGGTTCAAATACTTGTCCAACCCACTGTATCAGCCTCTCATAATACATCATGAAGAAAGTGTTCATTGAGATTGAACTTGTCTGAGTAACTTCTTATTTCAGTGAGGAGCTAATCATTCTAAAAACGCCCTAACTCTTAACAGAGAGTCCTTCGCTGCCTTTGTTTCAGTAAAGGGGCTGATTACCAAGAAGTGGTGGTCTATTTAAAATCCTGCTGCCAGATGTGTGCATGAGCAGAACAAGCATCAAAGACTCACTTCCTGTTGCTATTATTGCTCATATCACCATTGAGGCGAGAGACCATTATTTATTCACCATTGTCTCTTCTCTTCACACCGATCCTCTCATCCTGCAGTAAAAGTAAGAGGTATTTCCATCTATTACATAACATGGCTTCTTATGCAAATTCTTAGGCCACATCATCTTTGTTTATAATGTGGACAAATATGTATTGTAAGATTTTGAAAACAGAACTCTGACCAAAGTTTTTTACATTTCCTGGCAGACTAAGAATACTTCAAAAAGTGATAACATGTGAGGTAATAAATGCTCAAACCAAGTGGATTTTTTCTTAATTTGAGCACATTCTGACTGTTTTTAATAAGATTTGCCAGTGGGATAAGCCATTTAGTCTTATTTCAATAATGGTTTCATTCCAAGGGAAACATTTCTCGTATCTTTTTAAAACAAGATAATTTTTCTTGTCCCGTTGACAACGAATCTTGACTGTCAAAATGTGCTCAGATTGAGATACATTTTGCCAAATTTGATACATTGGCAGTGATTATACTATTGTTAGTCCACACATTGAATTTGTATACTTAATAATGGAAACAAAATACACATGATATTATATATAATAGGTAGCCCAAAATGTCTTTGTATTTAAGATCTCACATAATTTTGAGTTGGCCTATGTCGTCTACAAGTGAATGAACGGGATGAGGAACTTTTTCTCCATTCCAATCTGATGTTTTAACTTTTCTTTTCTTGTCTTTATTTTCTTACAATGCGCAAGTTAGTGGTTTTTTGTCATTACATCTGTATGTGTTACTTTCTCAAATGATGCTACTTTACTGATAGAATAAGCCATTCATTATAATAGAGCCAGTTTAGGCCTAACCAAAAAATACATTATTTTTTACAGAAACAATGAAAACAGTCATCGTATTCCTCTGCCTCTGGGGGTTATGTGATGCCAGCGTAACCACTGGGACAACTACTCTAATCACAACTTCCCCAAACCAGACTGAAGCCTCTGATGACTACACCTCTTTATCCAATGGGACCACTCACTCATCTGCAACGGCTCCTTCTGACCACCAGACCACCCAGGCTCCACTCAACTGTCCAACTCCTTCTCCAACCACCACCACCACCCCCGCATACAGCAAACTATTCAGTGTAAATCACTTGTTATTGATTGCCGGGGGACTCATTCTTGCCTGCACCATCTTGCTCATTTCCACTCTTCTGCTGGTCTGGAAAGTATGCCAACTTAGCAGACGCCTCAAGATGCTGAGCGGGCATTCAGACCTGATGATTCCCACTAAATCCTGGACCGGAAACAACAAGTCGAACACAGATGCCAGAGAGACCTCCGTGTTAATGGGCGACTTGAATGAAGTCCGTGACGAGGCTGAAGATGGAGGCGGTGAGGACAGCGAGAAGGAGGGAGACGTGTGTGAGAATGTAGTGGAGCAGATGGAAAAGGCAGCCAAGAACGATGAGATGTGTGAGGGGACACCTGCGGATCCAACAAAGGCTTCACCTGAACCAGGAGAGCAAAAGTCCCAAGTGGATACAAGCACGACAACCTCCACAACAGAAGATGAGAAGGAAGCAAAGGGTGAAGAGTGAGGAGGAAGTATTAAAAGCAAAATAAAAAGTCAAACAAAATGTGAATCTATTTTCATTGTATCTGTTTTTTTAATGTACTTTTGTATCATGTGAGTGTGGGAATCTTTGTGTTGCTGAATATGAAATTGGTAACGTGCAAGAAACTCTTTCATACTGCACCCTACAATTCAAGGAGGTATACTTATAAAGATAGAGGGTTCCATCGTCAAAGCGAAGGGCATTAGTAACCATAGTGACTAACAATTATGCAACAAAAGTATCTTTTGAATAGGAAAAAAGTATAATGCTGTACGAAACGAGAAGTTGAAACCTATAAATAGTTTACTTTCAGAATGAGGTATCATGCATTTTTGATTTTCTGATTTTTCTCATTTTAGCCTGTATTACACAACTTTTCTTTCCTAAATAATACATGTTGTTTGTGCCAACAGAATGAGTCTTGTAAAGGTATTATACAAGCAAACCAGACCACAATGTGCTGGCTTGATTTAATTAGAAAACATGTGGTTTTCAAAGCTGATCTAGGGACGTGACAGAGGACAATATTACATGCATGCGAAAAGTGAAAAGAACCCAACTGTTTGACAGCGAGAAACTAAATAGACTTTATTACACGCTTGATTTTTTGTAATTTTAGAATAAGGTACCCAAAGCTTTCAATATTCTTCAAATCCATCTCATTTTTTCCCTCCCACTGTAATCAAGCCTCCGAATGCATTTCACTTTTAACATGCCATCACCAGCCCCACTCCTCTGAGCCCTTTTGTGACTGTTAGTGTCGCATTGTGTCGTGTGAAGAGAGAGTCAAATGCAGCTGATTAGTAAAGCAGGAAGTGAAGCTCTTCTGGGCACAGCCACTCTAGTGTGAAAGAGTGCTCCCGTTCAGCAGTCAGAGCAGACAAACGCACACAAAACCCTTTTCACCACACCACTATACATGTGCATGAAGTTGTTTCCGCCGCCTTGTGCCGATCTCTGAGGAGAAGTGCGCCCAAGTGATGATGATGGATTTGCATTTTTCACTTTCCACCACAATGCAGACCGAGTTAATCACTTGTAGGCCATTATACTTCAATGTGATTATTCTAACTACACAATTGTAATGATTGTTTTTTTATCATATCCCTCAGAGTACTTGCTGATATTCTGCCATGACAGGTAGAATAGTGTTGAAATTCCTTAAAGGGGGATTAGGCAACTTTTTCATGTATTTTTTGTGTGTGTTTGTATGGATCTCTAGAACACATTTTTAGCAACTGTGGCCAGTAAGCACACGTCACTGAATTTCCACTTGATGTTTTGGATATCTGCCAAAACATGTGAGGGTGCAGGTATTTTCAGTTCTGCTGTTTTAACAGGAAGTCAGTGGACCCATTTCTTTTATTAGGATGTTTTGAGACAGATTGCATGTTACCATGAGCATTCGTATTTGATGTATGTTCTACAGATAAAAGCGAATGAATAAGAACCAATTCATGACTCACTCAAACAAAAGGATGTATTAGGATGATGTTCATTGAGGTAGATTTACATGGTTTACATATTAGTTACTCCATGATTAAACACTTCAACCCTGCACACGTATACAGTAGTATGAAGATAAATCATATTTATTGTCAGGATGTTGTGACAGCCCACACTAATGTTGTCTGTGCTTTTACAGACAGGGTTCTGAATATTGGCCGTTGTCTCTTCTCCATCTTTTTATGTTACGGCCTGGAGCCGAGGGTCACAATGATGTGGAATTTTGTTGTGATAAGTTGCATTGTTTGATCGGTGGTGTAGTGCGCTGGGTGTGAGGACATTTGAGCAGCTGCAGGAGCTAATGTTAATTGAAGAGTTTAAGAATTGTTTGCCTGAATGCATTTCAACATACATTGATGAGCAAAAGTCTATTACAGTTGCGGCTGCAGCTGTGTTGGCGGATGAGTATGTGTTGACGCACTGTGAGTACAGTGGTAACTGTGAACAGGGAAGCCAAAGAGACGGGCTCAATTACTTCCATGGTGGGCACCAGCTTGGTGCCAAAAATCAGAGCTTTAGTGAGAATAGGGTCTGTAATCATTGTCACAAACAAGGGCATGTTAAAGCTGACTGTCTTATGTTGAAGGCAAATGTGTGGAATGGTCAGGCAGGTCCGAGCGGAGTTGGTTTAGCTGCTCCAGACGGTAAGGCAGTATATGTGTGGCAGGTGTCATTGACCAAGCGAGCTCAGGAAGTGGCTGCTTTTGTCACTCCTACAGGATTGTAGTCGTATACAGTTCTGTCATTTGGGCTTAGGAACGCACGTTTCAACGTCTGATGAACACACATGGGAAGATCATGTGGAGCGCATCAAGGCGCTTTTTTCTCGGTTAGCAGAGGCAAGCCTCACAGTTAATCTTGCAAAGTGTGAGTTTGCAAGAGCAATTGTGACCTATTTATGTCGGGTAGTAGGCCAAGGAGAGGTTCGTCCTGTAGCTGCAAAAGTGCGAGCTGTGGAACAGTTTCCTGTTCCAGTGACTAAGAAGGAGCTGATGAGTTTCCTTGGTCTTGTAGGCTAATACCAATGTTTTTGCCGTGATTTTTCTTCTGTTGTAGCTCCTCGGACTGAGGAGGCGCTGAGAAGGAGGTCAAGTTTTCCTGGTTGCCGGAGTGTCAGAAGGTGTTTGAGCAGGTCAAAAAGCTCCTTTGTGCTGCGCCTGTCCTGGCGGCGCCTCGCCTTGACTGTTCGTTCCAGCTACACGTGGATCGTGCCAGTCACATGGGTGCCAGAGCCGTTCTGACACAGTTTGATGACCTGTGGGTTGGCAGGCTAGTGAGTTACTTTTCGAAGAAATTCAACAACATCAACTAAATTATTCAGTGATAGAAAAGGAAGCGTTGGCTCTTATCATGGCGTTAAGGCATTTTGACGTTTACTTGATAACGTGTACAATGACCATAATCCACTTCTTTCGTTTCTCTCGTCATTTAAAAGCCCAAATCACAGGCTGGTCCGGTGGTCATTATTCCTGCAATCGTACTCACTGGAGATTACATACATCAAAGGAAAGGACAATGTTGTAGCTGATGCCCTGTCGCACGCTCCAGGGTTGTGGGGAGGTTTTTCTTTCTTCCTATCCCTTTCCTAGGTGGTGTATCAAAGGTGCAGACATCGTGCTGGCAGAGGAAGAACTCTGACCACCCGCCGTGCTAGGCCACACCGGGACGGCACGGTGGAGGGGCCCATGTCCAGGGCTGGACTGGCCATCGGGCGTACCGGGCAATGCCCGAAGGGCCGATGCCCATATTTGGGCCGGTCTGTCTGCCTCATACAAAAAAAAATGTTTGTGAAAAGTGTAAATCCGTTGAGAACTGTTCGAGGGAGCGTGCGTGTCCGCGGGGCACCTGCTGTATGTACTGGAACGGGATTCCACCACCTCAGCGGCCGCAGTGTTCCCGCATCCAGCGGCTCTGAGCTGGACGCGGGAACCACTCACCGGGAACCGCTCACAACACAACACGGTGAGCGCGTAGCCGCAACGTGACCATGTACCCAAGACCATAAACGCGCACAGAACCATGCGTGTCTTTGCGTAATTTGTGCACCCAATAAATACACCGCTGCAGGAAAAAGTCCGCGTCTCCCCTCTCCTCTCGAAGCGCGACTAAATTAAAGCCCGGGTACCTACATTTTCCATTGCATTAAAAGTTCATGTTTGAGCCCAAAAGTAAAATGTTGTGAACAGATTAAACAGATTTAGAGCCAGCAAATGGCTGACATTATGCATTTCAGACATTTTTGACCAATTCTCATCCCTGTAACAAACAATAGTATTGTCTTTGTCCACCTCCCTCACTCTGAGACATGTTTATTACTCTCTTGTAATGTAGACTATTGCACTTTATTTTTTTGTTGAAACTACAGACATCCTGATCCTCTACAGTATTTGCTTCCACATACTGTATAAACCAGGGGTCGGCAACCTTTAGTGCTCCTCCAGTGGCTCCTGGAGCCTTTTCAAAAATGTCTGAAAATGGAGTGGGAGGGCTATATTTTATTCCTAGTTTGAATGTGGTTTCTGTAGGAGGAAAAACATTCCTAACGTATTTCAATGCTGTAAAAATGTGTATAAGTAATATTCAATTTCAACATTTCTGTCAACGTAGTGCGTCATATCCTGTGGCGCGGCCCCGCGCCAGGCGGCCGCTGCTGAGTCGATAATAAGACTGGACTAAGAACAAGACTGAACATTTGCTTTCAGTCAATGAGGAAGGACTGCTTCATGTTTGCAATGTAATAGGAAGTTTTGTTTACGAGAAACAATGAAGCACTAAATACCGTTCACAGGGATTACGTGAAGGATTCTTTCATACAAAATCCGGAGCACTTTTTTCAGACTTCAAAAACCTCCGCAAAGACTGTGAAAGAAAAGGACATTCAGCTCCAGCAAACTTCAGCCTGTGACGTGATCGATATGAGCGGACAGTGCAGGTGTGTGACCTTTGAGCCAAAAAGCAGATTTATTTACTGTATTTCTACAGTTGCATGAAGGCAAAAAAATGGAAGTCAAAGTTAAAGCAGAGTCATCACGTGGTACGTCATTCTCTCCAGGACACGCTGCAGTGAAAACACATATTTGATAATCATGAATGCTTATTATGTATTTGTAGCCTTTACTTGGTCATTTAGATATTAGGCTAATGTAGCCAATGTAGCTACATTGTGTAACCATCATATAAGCTTTATACAAGGCTGTTATTTTTTTGTGGCTCCAGACAGATGTTTAGTTTTTTGGTAAAATATGGCTCTTTGAACCTTTTGAGTTGCCGATCCCTGGTATAAACAAACTGTAAAAAAGTGACAAAAACATGCCTGGGCCGGTAAGAAGGAAAAAATGCCCGGGCCGTTTTTTTGTCCCAGTCCAGCCCTGCCCATGTCCCTCCACCGTGTTAAGGCGGCTGAGGTCAGCAATTAAATTTAGTTTTACATCGGACTTGCCTGGGGGAGCCTGCCCTTAAAGGGGAGGTAGTGCAGTCCCTGATCCAGTTATCTGCCTTGTTATTTTTCTTTGAGGTGCCATGTAAGGTGGATGGAGGCCATGTCTGTCAACCACCGTGCTAAGCCACGCCGGGACGGCACGGTGGAAGTTTCCCTGTCCCTGGGCCACGGAAGATGCTGAGGTCCGCTGTATTGTTGGCTAGGATTCCTGGGGGAACCGGTCTTCTATGGGGGGGATGTGACAGCCCACACTAATGTTGTTTGTCTGTTGGAGGTGCAGTGCAAATGAGGACCACACGGGGGAGCTGCCGGCCTAGCAGCTCCTCCCTACAAAGGAGCCGCTTCCTGTGGGCAGCCTTCCTCTTCCCTTGACCTCCATCTTGGCCATGCGGCAGCCACCACATCACCATTATATTCTTCATTCATTCATTCATTTTCTTCCGCTTTATCCGTTGCCGGGTCGCGGGGGCAGCAGTCTAAGCAGAGACGCCCAGACTTCCCTATCCACACACACCTCCTCCAGCTCGTCCGGGGGGACCCCAAGGCGTTCCCAGGCCAGCTGAGAGACATAGTCTCTCCAGCGTGTCCTGGGTCTTCCCCAGGGCCTCCTCCCGGTGGGACGTGCCCGGAACACCTCCCCAGGAAGGCGTCCAGGAGGCATCCTGAACAGATGCCCGAGCCACCTCAACTGGTTCCTCTCGACGTGGAGAAGCAGCGGCTCTACTCCGAGCTCCTCCCGTGTGACTGAGCTCCTCACCCTATCTCTAAGGGAGCGCCCAGCCACTCTGCGGAGGAAGCTCATTTCGACCGCTTGTATCCGCGATCTCGTTCTTTCGGTCATTACCCACAGCTCATGACCATAGGTGAGGGAGGGAACGAAGATTGACCGGTAAATTGAGAGCTTTGCCTTTCGGCTCAGCTCCCTCTTTACCACAACGGTCCAATACAGCGACCGCATCACTGCGCACGCTGCACCGATCCGCCTGTCAATCTCACGCTCCATCCTCCCCTCACTCGTGAACAAAACCCCGAGATACTTGAACTCCTCCACTTGAGGAAGGACCTCTCCACCCACCTGAAGAGGGCAAGAATCAGAATCAGAATCAGAATCATTTTTATTGCCACGTAAATAACAGGAAGTCACAGACTTGGAAATTGCTTTGGCTCAGTGCAACAGTCAAAAAGAGATAATAAAAATAAGAATAAAAAACACTTCTAAAGAATAAATTTAAATTTAAAATAGAGTTACAGTTACTATTTACAATATACAAGTGCACATGGTGCACACAATGTAAGGTGACAGCAGTACAGTGAAGTAAAGTGACGTATGATGGGCAGTAAAGTGACTTTATAAAGGGCGGGGGGACAGGTTAAGTGTTCAAGAGTCCAACAGCAGAGGGGAAGAAACTGTTCTTGTGGCGGGAAGTTCTAGTCCTGATGGACCACTCCCCTCCTGCCTGAGGGGAGTGGTTGGAATAGTCCATGTGCAAGGTGAGAGGGGTCGGCTGTGATACGACCAGCCCGGCCTCGAGCTCGGGCGACGTACAGGTCCTGCAGCGATGGAAGGCTGCGGCCGATCACTTCCTCTGCAGAGCACACAATGCGCTGTAGTCTCTATTTGTCCCTGACTGTGGCTCCAGCGAACCACACGGTGACGGAGGAGGTGAGGATGGACTCGATGATGGCCGTGTAGAACTGCACCAACATCTGTGCAGGCAGCTTGGCTTTCCTGAGCTGCCGCAGGAAGTACATCCTCTGCTGGGCCTTCTTGATGAGGGAGCTGATGGTCGGCTCCCACTTGAGGTCCTGGGTGATGGTGGTGCCCAGGAAACGGAAGGACTCCACAGAGGTGATGGGGGAGTCCATCACGGAGGGTGGGGGTGGGGGGACAGTGCTCTTCCTGAAGTCCACAATCATCTCCACTGTCTTCTGGGCGTTCAGCTCCAGGTTGTTACCACTGCACCAGGACACCAGCCGGTCCACCTCCCTCCTGTAGGCGGACTCATCATTGTTGGAGATGAGTCCAATGAGGGTGGTGTCGTCCGCGAACTTGATCAGCTTCACGGAGTTGTGGCTGGAGGTGCAGTGGTTGGTGTACAGGGAGAAGAGCAGGGGAGAAAGAACACAGCCCTGTGGGGCTCCTGTATTTATAATCCGAGAGTCCGAGACATTCTTCCCCAGACGCACTCGCTGCTTCCTGTCCGTCAGGAAGTCAGTGATCCACCTGCAGGTGGAATCGGGCACGTTGAGCTGGGAGAGCTTGTCCTGGAGCAGGGATGGCAGGATTGTGTTGAAGGCAGAGCTGAAGTCCACGAACAGGACCCTGGCGTAGGTCCCCGGGGAGTCCAGGTGCTGTAGGATGTGGTGGAGGGCCAGGTTAATGGCGTCGTCTACAGATCTGTTGGCTCTGTAGGCGAACTGCAGGGGGTCCAGGAGGGGGGAGGTGAGGGACTTGAGATGGGAGAGAACCAGGCGTTCAAATGACTTCATGACGACAGACGTAAGTGCTACAGGTCTGTAGTCATTGAGTCCTGTGATCCTGGGCTTCTTCGGGACGGGGACAATGATGGAGGATTTGAAGCAGGCCGGGACATGGCAGGACTGCAGAGAGGTGTTGAAAATGTCCGTGAACACAGGAGTAAGCTCACTGGCGCAGTGTCTCAGAGTGGCCGGAGACACGTGGTCCGGGCCAGGAGCTTTGCGGGGGTGCAGCCTCAGGAAGAGTTGTTTAATCTCTTTAGCGGCTATTGTTAGGCTGGGGGCAGGGCTGATGGGTGGGTCGTTAGAGTAGTGGGGGGTGGGGGAGGGAGAGGTGTCAGGGGCAGCATCAAAGCGACTGAAAAATAAGTTCAGATCGTCAGCTAGCTTGTGGTCGTCAGCACAGGGGGGGGCTTTGGGTTTGTAGTTGGTGATCTCCCGTAGGCCCCTCCAGACAGAAGCAGTATCGTTGTTACCAAACTGCTCCTGTAGTCGTTCTCTGTGCCGGGACTTGGCTGCTTTCAGTTCTCTCCTGAACTGATATTTAGCTGCTTTGTAGCCGCTGCGGTCCCCCTCCCTGAAAGCAGACTCCTTTGCTTTCCTGAGCTGTCGGAGTTTAGCAGTGAACCAGGGTTTGTCGTTGTTATAGATGACCCTGGTCCTTGTTGGAATGAGGCTATCCTCACAGAAGTGAATGTATGACGTCACAGTGTCCGTATATTCATCCAAACTATCTGTGGCAGCTCTGAAAAGGTCCCAGTCTGTAGATTCCATGCATGCGCGCAGCTCTTCCACAGCTTCATCAGACCACACTTTGGAGCTCCTCACTGCAGGTTTCGAGAGCTTTAGTCTCTGTCTGTAAGCAGGAACCAGATGTATCATGGAGTGATCTGAGAAGCCGAGGGCTGGCTTGGGAACAGCGCGAAAAGCTCCGCGCACGGTGGTGTAACAGTGATCCAGAGTGTTCTCCTCTCTGGTCGGGCATTTGATAAACTGTCTGTATTTGGGTAATTCCTGGCTCAAGTTTCCCTTATTAAAATCCCCCAGGATAATAATCAGAGAGTCCGGGTATAAGCGTTCCATACACAGTACTTGCTCTGCGAGTGCGCGCTGAGCCTTGCGCGCGTCCGCGCATGGCGGTATGTAAACAGAGGCAAGAATGAATGAAACAATTTCGCGCGGGGAGTAATATGGTTTACAATGAATGAAAAGATATTCCAGAGCAGGAGAGCAGTGCTTGGAGATCACTGTCACATCGTTACACCAGTTTGTATTGACGTAGAAACACAGCCCACCGCCTCTGCTCTTCCCTGAGAGCGCACAATGGCGATCCGCGCGGAACAGCCCAAAGCCCTGCAGCTCCAGAGCGCAGTCCGGGATCCGCTCATTTAGCCAGGTCTCAGTGAAGCAGAGGACACAAGATGTGGCGAAGTCCTTGTTTCTTCTCATGAGCAGGCTGAGTTCGTCCATCTTATTGCCAGTGAGCGTACGTTGGAGAGAAAAATGCCGGGGAGAGCCGTGCGCGCTCCTCTCCTCCTAAGACGCACGAGCAGGCCTCCGCGCTTTCCCCTTTTACGGGCCCACACTTTTTTGGCTAGAACATGAACTAAATCAGCCGCAGATGCCAAGAAAACAGGCAATAGGTCCATGGGGACGGTGGGTCGGATGTTCATAAGTTCCTCACGGGTGTAGGAACAGCCAGATGCGCAGTTAAAAAGTAAAAACAAAAGAAAAAGAGAGCAGCAAAGAGCCATGTCGACCGTACGTGGCGCCACAGTGTATACACTGCAAGGCACCTTTTTCCGGTCGAGCACCATGGCCTCGGATTTGGAGGTGCTGATTCTCATCCCAGCCGCTTCACACTCGGCTGCAAACCGTCCCAGTGCATGCTGCAGGTCCTGGTTCGTTGGAGCCAGCAGGACGACATCATCCGCAAAAAAGTAGAGATGAAATCCTGTGGTTCCCGAACCGGACCCCCTCCGGCCCCTGGCTGCGCCTAGAGATTCTGTCCATAAATACAGTGAACAGAACCGGTGACAGAGGGCAGCCTTGGCGGAGGCCAACATGCACCGGGAACAGGTCTGACTTACTGCCGGCAATGCGGACACAGCTCTGGCTCCGGTCATACAGGGACCGAACAGCCCTCAGCAGAGGACCCCGGACCCCGTACTCCCGGAGGACCCCCCAAAGGACACCCCGGGGAACACGGTCGAACGCCTTCTCCAAATCCACAAAGCACATGTGGACAGGTTGGCCGAACTCCCATGAACCCTCGAGTATCCGATGGAGAGTATAGAGCTGGTCCAGTGTTCCGCGACCGGGACGAAAACCACACTGCTCCTCCTGAATCCGAGATTCGACCATCGGACGTAGCCTCCTCTCCAGTACCTTGGAGTAGACCTTACCGGGGAGGCTGAGGAGTGTGATCCCACGATAATTGGAACACACCCTCCGGTCCCCCTTCTTGTAGAGAGGGACCACCACCCCGGTCTGCCACTCCATTGGCACTGCCCCCGATCGCCACGCGATGTTGCAGAGACGTGTCAGCCAAGACAGTCCTACAACATCCAGAGACTTTAGATAGTCAGGACGGATCTCATCCACTCCCGGCGCCTTGCCACCATGGAGGCTGCCAACCACCTTGGTGACCTCGGCCAGGGAGATGGAAGTATTCGCCCCAACATCCTCAGCCTCTGCCTCCTGGACGGAGGACGTGACGGGGGGATTGAGGAGAACCTCGAAGTATTCCTTCCACCGCCCGACAATATCCCCAGTCGAGGTCAGCAGCCCTCCACCCGCACCGTACACGGTGTTGGCAAAGAACTGCTTCCCCCTCCTGAGGCGCCGGACGGTTTGCCAGAACCTCTTCGAGGCCGACCGATAGTCATGCTCCATGGACTCTCCGAACTCCTCCCAGTCCCGGGTTTTTGCCTCTGCAACAGTCCGGGCCGCGGCACGTTTGGCCTGCCGGTACTGGACAGCTGCCTCAGGAGTCCCACGAACCATCATTGCTCGATAGGACTCCTTCTTCAGCCTGACGGCATCCCTTACTGCCGGTGTCCACCACCGGGTTCGGGGATTGCCGCCGGGACCAGCACCAGAGACCTTGCGACCACAGCTACGAGCCGCTGCATTGGCGATAGAGGAAGAGAACATGGTCCACTCGGACTTGATGTCCCCCTCCTCTGCCGGGACCTGGGAGAAGCTCTCCCGGAGGTGTGAGTTGAAAGTCCGTCTGACAGGGGGCTCAGCAAGACGTTCCCAGCAAACCCTCACTACACGCTTGGGTCTGCCAGGTCTGACCGGCCTCCTGCCCTGCCAGCGGATCCAACTCACGACCAGGTGATGATCGGTTGACAGCTCCGCCCCTCTCTTCACCCGAGTGTCCAAAACACGCGGTCGAAGGTCAGATGATACAACTACAAAGTCGATCATCGACCTCCGGCCTAGGGTGTCCTGGTGCCACGTGCACTGATGGACACCCTTGCGCTCGAACATGGTGTTCGTGATGGACAGGCCGTGACTGGCACAGAAGTCCAACAACTGAACACCGCTCGGGTTCAGATCAGGGGGGCCGTTCTTCCCGATCACCCCTCTCCAAGTGTCACTGGCATTTCCCACATGGGCGTTGAAGTCCCCCAGGAGAATAACGGAGTCCCCGGGCGGTGCACTGTCCAGTACCCCTCCCAAGGACTCCAAGAAGACCGGGTACTCTGCACTACCGTTAGGCCCGTAGGCCGTCACAACAGTGAGAGACTTGTCCCCCACCCGGAGGCGGAGGGACGCGACCCTCTCATTCACCGGGGAGAACTCCAACACGTGGCGGCTGAGATGGGGGGCAATGAGTATGGCCACCCCAGCTCGCCGCCTCTCCCCGCGGGAAACACCAGAAAAGTGGAGCGTCCAACCCCTCCCATTATGTTCTCTCTTTGTTATATTGTTTACAATGAATGGCCCTACAGGGGTTCTGAACATTGGCCGTTGTCTCTTCCCCATCTTTTTATGTTACGGCCTAGAGCCGGGTTGTAACAATGTACACAGAACTTTTGCTTTGACTGCAGCAGAAGCATTGCATACGACGGAAATTAATATTCTTATTAAACTTCTAAAAGGTAAAGCTGAAGCTGAATGAGTCGATGACATGACAAACAAATTTCCTGTTACTGTTGAGGTGGTGATGGGGAGGAGACGGGTTGCTGTATGAGCTGAAAACTTAGTACTGAGCTGTGATCATAGACCATTGTGTTTGCCAAATGCGGAACAAATGGATGTCCTTATATGGGCATTTGTTATGAAAGGATGTTCAGCACTAGATCATATACGGAATCGGGACGGAAGTGGAA